TATAGCATGGTGAAAGAGTAGAGCAGAGCACAAATTTTTTCTCTCACTGCATGTCACAAATTCATTCTATTGTTCATATTTATGACCTTTTTGATAGCGGGACTTTTAGCGTAAGCATTTTTGTGGCGTTCGTTGGGCGCTGGAGTTAGGGAAGGGGGGGGGGGGGGGTTTGATGGGTCTATCTATGAGATATGGAACTTTTGCATTGTTATGGGGTAGGTTCACGCGTTTGGAGATACCTGGCTGGCTTTTTGTCGTAGATATGTCACTGGATTGAATGGGAGTAGATCTTTCGGCTATTTGACCTTTTTTTCCTTGTGCTGAATATGTGAGTGAGTGATGATTGTGAAGTGAAGTGAAGTGAAGTGAAGTGAAGTGCAGTGAAATAGCATTATGAATCGGGAAGGAAGGAAGGATGGCACTAAGCTAAGTAGCCTAGGAATAACTTTCTAGCTCAACTCTTTCCTTCCTTCCTTTCTTCTCTTTCCTTCTTTCCTTCTTTCCTTCAAGATCAATCACCCCTGTGAGTAATTATCTCATCATCGATTTAGTCTCCAGTGCAAAGTTGCCTAACCAAAAAGAAGAAAAACTTAATACTTGACTCGAGAAACCGAGAATATTTGTGGGATTGTAGTTGGATAATTAGATAGATGGATAGATTGATGGATGGATGGATATGTATGATTGATGATTTGATATTATCCTAGATTTAGTTGAGCCAGTGAGTGACTTTGCCCGGGGGGGGGAAGCTGGGAATTTTGAGGATTTTGAGGATTTTGAGTGCTAATTATATAAGCTGATGGCTGGATGGATATTGGATTGTTTTTGAGGATTTTTGGTTTTTGTTACCGTCAATCTGGGGTGAGCTTTCTTAATTTCTAAGAAGCTAATTTTGCTGCACGCTGATGTGGTATATATGATTGTAGATTGTTCTTTCCCATCAACATTTGTTACAGCGAGGAAAGTATGGGTGGCTCAATATTGATATTTCTCCGTCTTGAGGTATGCTTTTCTTATCCCATCCTCTTCCACTATTCATCATTCATCAAATTAGCATTTCATAACAGCCAGCATACAGCCTTCGGGTCGTTAGGTATCTCTTATTTTAATGAAAACGTCGACTGTTGGATGGCTGAACATAAGAAGAAAGGTTTACGAAGAGCTAGATATTGATATTGCAAAAGTGCAGTGGCACCATCGCCCATCAGAGACGAACTACTAACTGGCGAACACATCAAAAATATGGCAAGCGAGTTTAAATTCAAAAGGTTCTCGCCCACCGCTGATAATCTTCCGAGAAATTCGCCATCGGCACCTATCAGGATACTCGGAAGTGGTCTATCAGCTTTAACGCTTGCATGCAGTCTTCGCAAAAAACATATCCCCTTCCAAATTTATACTCGAGACACCCGGCCTCAAAGTTTTTGGGATCGGCATGATTATAGTCTTTTGCTATCAGGGAGAAGTATCAGAGCGCTTAGGAGACTGCTCTGTATAGGTGAAGATGTTTTTCAACGCACGCTTCTAGTGCCACTTACCACACCCTTTCCGTCTAAAAGTCGAGAGCTAGTCAAAATCAGAATTCACAGGGGGAAGCTAGAATATCTCTTGAGGCAGGCCTTCGAGAAAGAGATCGAATGGGAATGTGAGATTAAGGTTGAATCCGAAGCAAGTGGGTTACCGCGTCTGATTTTTCCCTCGCATGTCGATAAATTAGAAGGGAGTATTACATTCGATTGTATGGGTGCTCATTCTCCGATAAAATACGCAGAAGTTAGCCACACCATCCTCCCCGTTGTGGTATTCCGAGGCCAGATGTTCTTGTCGAAATCCTCATGGGATCGAAAGTTTCGGCATTGGTTTCCCAATAACACATCACAAATCCGAGAGCAATTCGATAAAACAATATTGGAGCTTATAATCGACGACGTTCATCCGCACGGAGGCGTAGTGAAGTTATCTTATGTGTATTCAAGGCCTCGTCTAGATGGTCCGATAGATCCGCCCGATGAACTCTGGGTACCGAAACGATCGATTGATGAAGCAAGGTCCCCTGCCTTGATCGAAAAGTTCCTCGACGAAGTCGAAGTCTTTCGACAAGAGTATAACCTACCTAAACCTTATGATGAAGTCTTCAATCCAGAAAGAATGAAGGAAGATGACCTCGTGCATTGGCTGCAGAGACATTCAAGGGCAAACCAGCCGAAGCTAATTCATCTGTGGAATGGCGACGAAAGGATATTCAAGTTAGGTGATGCCATATTCCAAATGAGCATACTCGAGTCTACCGGTGCTGAACTTGCCATTCAGGATGGTATTGGGGTTGCTAGAGAAATTGAGCGATGTAGGGAGGCGATGCTGCATAAGTGGCTAATCAGCGGCTGGGTGGGGAGGCATTGGCATGGTCATGCAAGCTTTCATCGTATGGCTAAAAGGTATAGATCAGAAGTGATAGAATAGTTCCACGCCTATACCCTCCTTTTCCTAGTCTATATCAAGACAGCAAATACTACGATGATGACTGATATCTTTGTGTATAAGTATCAGTTTTGTCATTCAGGTGAGGGGTGAGATTAAAATGGATTCTATGATATCTTTTTACTCGTTCTCTCGGCTTCAAAGTTTATATGATCACAATCAGCGTAAACGTTATGAAGGGAGGTGTTTTCAATAGTTCAGAAGAATTCATTGCTTTTTCTATTTTAATCTTCTCAAATCATGCGTATAGACATATCGATTGCCTAACTCTCAGCATATAAACACTTCCGTTCTATATCTCTATCTAAAATGTCTATCTCCACTCTTCATCTCCATATCTAACTGCCAGGAAGGATATCGATACCACTATTAAAATGAAGTCACCAAGTACTATCCATATCATCTTTCCGTGTCTCCAATTTTCCATCTCTCCTTCCCAATATCACCCATTAATTGCATAAGCGCGAAAACAAAACTCCACGTCCCAGTCTACAGAAATACATACTCAAGCTCTTCACCATTACAAAGTTCTCATTCTATCAAGAGAGCTTTCCTTACTTGTGAACAGAGATGTAGCAGATCTCTATCCTGTATAAATGGAAGCACTAGCGGTACTTAGTAAATATCATTATAATCCCATAATTGAGGAGCTGAGTTTTTCTTATGTGTGTTCGCACATGTTACATGTACATAGGTTATATGTGATCATACTAGATATAGAATGGAATATGATGTCATTTTTATTTGCTCCTTGGCCTTTTCTTTTCGTTTATGAACCCCGAGTTACATTTTTTTTATATTTCTATGGGAGGTTTGGTGGTTGAAAGAGTACACTAGTATACTAGTATGGTATTATAGTATGGTATGATATGGTATGGTATGATATAGTATAGTATGGTATGGTATAATATGGTATAGTATAGTATGGTATGGTATGATATATATAGTATAGCCAATTACTGGTGTAGTTTTTTTCC